CAGACAAAACATGTCTGCCCAGGTGCCTCTGACTGAACTCACAGAGGAATATGACGACGGATATCAATCGTAATACACCATCCACTGCCAAAAGGTAATTAGCTGCTGCTGTGTAGCAATGCAGTACCACGTCTGCCGGCACCCAGATGACATATGGTGACGGTGAGCTGAGCGGGCTCCATGCTTGCCATGGTATGTTGTCTGCACAGGTAACCCAGGTAAAAAGGCGCGAATCGATTGTCTGCCGTTGCTCTGACGGAGGGGGAGGGGCCTGACGACATGTACCCAGAACCCCTCGTGACACTGTTTTTGCATCATCAGGCATTGGGATCTCAACCCAGAATTCCAATGGGCGGCGGAGACTGCGCGAACTGTAGGATAGCTATCCCCAGTGCAACGCTCTGGAAGTCGACGCTAGCTGTGGACACGGTCGGCCGACTTAATGCACTTAGAGCATTTTATGTGGGGACATACACAATCGACTGTATAAAACCGGCTTCTATAAATTCGACCTAATTTCGTAGTGTAGACATACCCTTAGAAGTCTACGTTTCATGAAAAGCCAATTGGACTTAAGCTCCTAGGTCACTTGTGAAAATTCTACCCTGATTGAACAGGAGATTGGCAAATAACTGCACTCTGGTACCACGGTGTTGTTGGGTCTGTCAAGATAGAAAAACTTCTGAAGTCTGTCTGTCTAAGTGGCTCGCTGTTCTTTCAGCGCCTGATTCTGAGAGGTGTTTGAGCACCCTCAACTCCCATTGACTTTCATAAGAATTGTGTGTGCTCAGCACCTCTCACAATCTGTCCTTAGGGGAGGGGAAGGGAAGGGGGAAGCAGAACTGAATATTACAAGGCACTTAGCAATGTTCAGCCAAGGAAATTGCTCAATTGGCTGAATATTTCCAACCAACTAATTCCGCTCAAAGGCCTCTGCCTTGATCTACTGAGTTTTAGGACAGACGCTTTCATTTTCAGACTTGAAGGGAGAGCAAAGCAAATTGCTTACCTGTAATTCCTGTCCTCAGAAGATAGTTATTACAATAGATCCCATTCCTAAATACACTCTTGTGGGTCCAGGTCTTGTGCAGGTGACTGAATGTGGAGCATTGAGAGATTAGGCCAGGATTTTAAAAAGTGGGGGGGTGAAGTCCTGACACTATTGAAGTCAATGGGAATTTTGCCATTGACTTCAATAGAGCCAGGATTTCACTCTGGATACTTAAATTGAAAATCATGCCAAAGTGCCAAATACCCAGCAGCTTTCTCTAGACTTTGGCTGCTCAGCACTTTTGAAAGTCAGGTCAATTATTCAGGTGTCTAAATATGAATGTAGGAGCAAAATTTCAGACAATGACTTTTGAAAATAATGGCCTAAAATTCTGACTTTTTTTAACCACTAATGAGGCATAAGCCCTAGAAATGGTCTGCACTTTTCTTGACATATACGTTAAAATAAAAAACAAAACCCATTTCTCTCCATTGTTCTCCGGAGAAAGTGGGTGAGAGGGAACCTATTATACTGGAAAAACACCAATCTCTCTTTAAAGTTGAAGCTGTATTTCCAATTAAATCAAATTTTGATTCCCAACCTCCAAATTTGACACAGGGGCTCTTTTAAATAGTCTTAGTGCCATGTGTCACCTACTTGACCGCAGAGTAGCCTCTCTTGACAAGACACCACCACCAACAGGCTAACTCTAAGTAGGGGAAGAATAGTCTTGGTTAACGCAGAGACCTGGAAGTTGAGAGATTTGGGTTATGATCTAGGCTCTACTACAGACCCAGCAACTCATAGAATTGGTTCCCAAAACCTACCCATATCCTATGCCACTTCATAAAATACTTCACCCATTCCAGAGGGTTGGAAATTTTGGAACCCTGTTAACATTCTGAATAGTAAAGAGTTAATCTCTATGTTGCTGTAGGTATCTTAAAGCCAGTATACCTTTGCTCTTCGGCTCTGTATACTCTACTGCATAAACCCGTGCATGTTGTTTAAGACATCTGCTGACACAGTTGAAGTGTCAATGTTTATAGGGTTTCAACATGCCAACTATTATAGCTATAACACTTGTCATAGATGTGTACAGTAGTCACCCTTAAAAGTTAGCATTTGCTAAACAAATACTACTCTAAGTAGAGCAAAATAACCATGGCATCTCAGATACTACTTTATGGCAACTGACAAACACAAACTTCTTAATGGTGGCCAATGTATCTATATAACATGACAAAGTCAAAGGATGGTGTGGCTACAAGGGCACAGTTAAGATTCTTTGGATCACCTTAACCCTAAATGTCCATCATTTCTGGTGTTTTTTTCCTGGTGTTTTTTCTAAAGTGTAACCTGAACTTTGCATTACCTGGCTTTCAGAAGCTGATGGTGTGGGGTTTTTTTAGTTAGAGATTTTCCCCTTTTGTTATTGATACTATATTTACAACCTTAATTCCAGCTTGCGAGGGAGCAGAGAAATGGCCATCCGGCACAGCAGGGGTTAAAGAAAACCTTTGGATTCAGCTAGCCCAGCTCTGCTATACCTGTGGCCAATGGCAGACCTGGAGCGGGGAGGAGGGGAGAAAAGAAGGGAGCCAGGCTCAGTTGGGGGCTGACTGGCGAGGAAGCAGGAGCTCTCTGCCTGCCTGAAGGGACAGATCAGCGACCTGCCAGCCAGAGCAGCTGCTTAAGACAAGTAAGGGCTCCCTGCCAAGGAGAGGCTGCAAATAAGCCCCAGCACTCGGGGCAACTGGTCATGCCCCAAATTGAAGAGACTGGTCGGAAGTAGCCCAGGGAAGTGGGGCTTAACTCCCTGCTGGAATGGGAGACCCCATCACCCCTGTTTAGGGGTTGATCTATACAGGGCCCTGGGATGGGACCCAGTAGAGAGGGAGGGTCTGGGTCCCTCTACTATGGCCTTGGGCCTTACAGACTGAAAGACCAGTGATCTAGCCACTAGGCTGCCTGGCCACAGAAAACCCTACCACCGAGCTTAATGAAGATTTTTTGTCTGCAAATAATTTAGAACTGAGAAGAAGAACAACATTTTTCTCCTTCTAAAGCAAGTGTTCTATATATCCACACCCTGAAGACTAAGAGCACCAGAGTTGTCCTGAAGAACTAATACCTAACAATTAGTTATAATTTGAGGCCTCGATATACTGTACGAAAGGGAAAAAACTTCAGAAAGTAGCTCAAACCAAACCAAACCCCAACAGCCAAAAGCTAGGTTGCTGTAGGGAATCTATGAAAAATGAAGCAGTCACTGTAGAAGAGCATTTATTGGTGGCTATATGCTTTTGGCTCCTAATAGTAGGTGAATAAGAACTGATGACAGGGTATGAAACACTCAAGATACAGTCATGTGAATGATGCAGGGACCCTAGAGTGCAGAAACTCAGGGATGGTCTATTGTAAAAATCTACCATTAGAGAAAATAATGATAATTTGGGAGATTCATTTCATATGAATAAACAGTGTACAATGCCACAAATGCATCATTATTTATTATGGATTGTCTTGTTCACCTTGATTTGGATTCTCTCAACTGAATGGCCTGTGGGTCTCCCTTGAATACAGAGAGCTACAGCTCTCAGATACTATAGTGATGGATACCATTGAAATATGACAGACAGATATACTCTTTGTATCAAATACTGAGAAATTTTGCCTGGTTTCTTTTCTGGTTTTAGTTTTTTCTTCACTGTTTTTGTTAATGTATATTCTTGTTTCAAGTAAGTCTAATTTTCATTTTGCAAGACCCAGATTGCTCTCAAATATTTTCATCTCTGTCTCTTATCTTAGTCACCAGGCAGGAACTGGCATCACAAAGTTAATCTAAATTTAAAAGGGTAAAAAGACCATCATTATCTGTGTGAGTCCCATCTGTGTGCAATGGACTCTAAATCTTCAAAGAGAAATATTTTAAACCCTAACCCAGTGGCAGGTGGAATGTAGTTTCAGGATCAAGTTTAAAGGGAGATGGGGGTGTTGATTAACAGCACAAGCTTGCCCCAATCCAGATCTCTTCCCCATTTTCCTTAGAATATTCTTGTGTTAATTTTACCTTGCACTGAGCCTCAGGTTCTATCTATACTGAAATTCCTATCATACTGGGGGAACCAGATGTAATGTGGAAGTCTCTAAACATAGTTATAATCCAGACTCTAACAGTAGTCAGGATTAAATCATGTTTTAAGCATGTTCCTAGACCATGCTGCAACCCTGCAGAAGTCCAAGGCAGTAGCATAGTTCAGAAGCCCAGGTAGGTCCAGTTTACAATGAAAAAACAATCCTTATTTTAACTCGTCGGACTACCATGCTGTTACTGGGTCCCCAAACATAATAGGAATTACAGTATGGGACCTAAAAAAGCTGAAGGAAGCTGAATGCAAGTCTTCAAGTTAATTTTAAGGTTAACATCAAGATTAAACATAGAATTTAGGTCATGATTAAGATAAATATGCAGGTCATTATCTAGATCAATATCAGAATTAGGATCAGGATAAGAATTAGGGTCAGGATGAGGTTCGCAATTAGGATTAGTGTGCGGATCTAGAAGGATTTTCTGAACTTCCTTATGAAATCCATGGATCTCTTCATTCTAGTGCCTTTGTTAACAGAACATGGTTATCTTTGCTCATTAGAAATATTGCTGCATTAGTAATTTGGATTTGTGTGAGATAGTTCACACATCGGGAGGGTCACTCAATGACACCCAGCTGAACAAAGGTACATTGCAGATTCTCAAACAAAATGCCATCTGCCATCTCTTAACATTTTAATATAATAGAAAGTTCACATTTAAATTTTAAAAAATATGCCAACTAACAGCTTCCATGTCATCCCATTGACACATTAAATTAATTAAAGCCATTTATTATTAACCCTCCCATTACCATACAACCAGTGAGCAAAATAGAGACCAAGACAGAACTCCATATTCTCAGCATGGCAGGACAGGACTATTGGTCCCAGGGATTGGTCATTTTCGGATACGTACCCAGTACAGTACATCTGTCCAGCCCTCCATAGTGATGCACTGAAACACAGTTAACATGGCAAAGGCAAAGTTGTCGAAATTGGTAATGCCATGCTTGGGCCCCTCCCATCCTGGTTTGCACTCAGTGCCATTCTGACACTGCCGTCCATGCGCTGATAGAGGGGCACAAGGAGAGGCTTCCTCTTCTGCTGGTGTATCATAAATGATGGGAAAACAAGAATGAGAGAATTATTAAGTACTGCATGAGTCACTGGAAAGGCAAAAGAAGGATACTTGCTTTTGAGACCAGACGTTTGCAGTGCATTTGACACATTATTTGAAGACACCACCAAAAATTTTATTGGTTTTAACCAGGCACCGGTGCATTTTTTGGTTTGTTTTTTTTATTTTGCAGAGGATAGACAAGCTACCAATTATGACCATCAAAATTGTCATTTACATTTTTCAATACACATCCTTCCACAAACAAGAATCAGTGCACTCATACATAAGGAGATGTTAGGTTACGTCTATTGCATTTCTTGGTGTGCACACTGCAACTGTGATTTTCCATTTCCATATTCACGGGCAGTCTGGGTTAACTTAAGGTCATTTATGCCCCCTAGCATTGAACTGACTGAAGCTCTCTTCCTGTGGAGCACCTTACCTCTAAAGGAGCCAAACTTCAGGCTTCACTGCTATGGAGCTGCCAAGGGATGCTGGACTAATGTTAAACTGCTGTGATGCATTTCTGTAGCTTAGAAGCTTTGTGGAATGTTATCCACAGGTCCTGTGGTGCTCAGAAGCTCTGCAGGACTGTAACTCCTGATCAACCACTTGCCTATTCTATATAGGTTTGGGGTTTCTCCCCATTTGTAAAATTAAGGACCCAAGCTACATGTCTGTTTCAACTCTCTGGTGCATTAAAAAAAGCCCATGAAAAACATTTTAATACATACAAATAAATACAAATACTAATATTGGGATCCTAGTAATACGTAATGAGAGTGATTGATCAGTAAGAGCACAGTCCTGCTGTCTTCATTCAGGCAAAGCTACCATTGAAAGCAGTGGGAGCTTTGCCTGGATGAGGACTGCAAGATAAGGCCCTACATTTAAAATAGATATGTGGGGGGTTATTTTATTTGTTTCTATTTTGTTTGTTGCTACTATCTATTTCATGAGACAGCTTGTTCTTGTGAGATTTCCAAAAGTTCTGGTAGTGTTTACACCAAAGTAGTAAAGATCAGGAGTAGCAAGATCAGAATCAGGTGCCTCTTCAGTAGTTACCATAGAGAAATATATATATTAACAGAGCGTAAAAATCCATGGCAGGTCATTACAGTTCTAGTACATTTTCCAGCAATGGAAATTTGCTGACTTTATAAGAAGGTGGAAACTAGAGAACTTCTGAGGCAATTTCCTTCTGTATGATATTTTCTTGTTATATGATCGTGACTGAGAAAGAGTCATTACTACCCAGCATCTCACAGTGATCACTGGTGCTCAAGTCAAATAAATCAAATGATAAACAGCAGATGAGTAGATGTGTGAGTGACAATCTACTGGATTTTCTTAGGAGGCATTTTCTGATGGATTTTGTGTGCAGGATTCCTCCTATTAATTCATTTTTTACTTTCAGAGTAGCTGCCTTTCTAACCACAGCCATATCCTGAGAGAGAAAAAGGAAGGGCTGATCATAGATTAGCAACTCCTCTGCCATGACAGTAGTTATTAAAGTTTACAGTATTGTATATTTGGGGACTGGAGTCGTTATAGAATAGGTGAGTTGTTCAACTCTATTTTTCTGACTCAAATACAACTCAGTCTGCTGGTGAGAAAGTCATTACTGTCTTATTGCTTTAGTCCATGGGAAATGAACTGGAGGTCTCAGCCCAGCTGCAAATGGCAAACATTCACATGAAAAAGCACCACCACGCTCAGTAGGAATTGACAACTCTGCCGGAAGTCTCAACAGAAAGGCCAATGACTGGATGGGCTGTGGAGACTGAGCTAAACTCTCACCCTTATTGCTGGTTTCTCCATATCAAAGTTGAGTTCTGTTTATAGGGCAGAGTAGAAGGAGTTTCCATTTTTGATCCCCATATCGTAAATGTTTTGTGGAGAGATAGAGAACTCCTATCTCTAGTGCTGGCACTTAGGTACTTTTCAACAGCGCTAAATTCATTTAAATATTCTAATTGAGTGAAAGTTACATTATGTTGGGAAAGCCTCACTTTGAAAATATTCGTATGTAGTCTGCTGTTCCTTCCCTCTCACTTGTGTATCTGTGCAGAGAGTGCCTTTAATATTGCTGCTTGGTCACACCCTTGCAACTTGGTCATCTGGAGGCAATCAGCCTGCTCACTCTCTGTTCTCCACAAGCAGAATGCCTCCAGCAACTGCTGTTGGTGCAGCGCTCCTCCACGCACACGCTAACATGACCAAGCCAGTGACGGTGAAGCCCATAAAGATGCCCTAACAAGCATAGCTTCTGCTTCCTTGACTCACAGGTCCACAAGGACTCTGAAGGATGAGGACTTAGAGAAGAGATGAGGCTTAAAGAGAATGACCAAGGAAACAACCCAATTCTGGTGATGAATCGACTGGGAAAACAGAGAAGGAGGAAGGAACTGGCTCGCATAAGGAAAATACAAAGGGATGTTTCTGTTCAGTTCATTCCTTCATCTGCATTTGTTCTCCTTTGGCTGTATTTCTAATTACATTGTATGTTTATGGACAAATATCCCTCTGCTGAACTGTTTAAAGGCATCTGCAGCTTTTTCTGAGACAGTAAAAAGAAAAAATGTGCAAACTGCCTTAAATACCAAGGACCACATGTTCTCCTCTTTGGAGACAGAAGTAGAGCTGGGAAAAAAAATTTGGCCTGGAAGTTTTTTCCAATTAAAAAAAAAGGGGGCAGATTCAGCAATACTGAAACTTTTCAAAAATTTAGTCAGACTGATTTGGTCAAAAAACAAACAAACAAACAAAAAAAACATATTTCCTATCAACATTCCTGAAATGAGACGCTTCAATTTGAAATGACTTTGTTTTGAAATTTCCTTTAGTTTAATTTTAATTTATATTAAAAGCTCAAAATCAAAACAAAGCTTTTGGTTGACCCAAAATTTTTCTTTTTACTTTTTGATTTGTAAATTTTTTTTGAAAAAAAAAAAGAAAAAAAAGATGTTTTTAGTTTGACCCAAAACTAATTTTTAAAAATAATTTAAATGTGCCACCGAACCAAAAAAATCCATTGTTTTCACAGCCATAGGCAGAAGCCCACAGACATTTGCAGAATGGGCACTTCCCATTTCCCTAATGCAGCCTCACAGGCATGTCCTACATCGGGAAAATGCATTGTGGCAGAAAACATGTTCACTAAAACATTTTAACTATAAGGGTGTTAACCATCATTTTGCCCTCAGTGTGGATAAAGACAGTCATATTTAAAAATGTGTTAGTTGGTGATGGTTGGCTCTAGATCCTTCTAAACCTGGAAAATCCCATTAAAACAATTGCAAAAATCAGAGTGTAGGAAACTCAAGCTTCCGCTTAGCTCAGCAGTGAGGGGTGCTATATAGATGTGTAAATTAGACAAATACTGTAGCAGACTGTTCTTTTTGGCTCTAAAGCTGTCCATAGGGACACACACACACACACACACACACACACACACACACCCACCCACCCACCATAGAAACTTACCCAAAATAGTGAGAA